TACTTCTATCAGCTAAAAGATATCGTTAACGTGCATTAAAATTAAGAACTATTATAAAGCAATTTAAACGGTTTTCAGTGCTAAAAAATTGATTTCCTTTGAGCCCGAAGACAACTGAAGAGTTTGCTCTTCGTTGAGGACTCATTGTCGAACCTGTGCACGCCTTTCCACCAGTAATCGACGGGGTAGATAGAATGAGGCGAGTTTTCACAGGATTGCCTACCGATAAAACTGACTGTTCAATTACCGAGATAACTTCCGTGAGGGGCTTTGTGAATGAGGGTCGACCTGATCGAAAGTGCGTATCGAGCACCATCTGCCTAATCCTGGGTCTCCTCAGGCTAACGACTCGAAATTGTGGCAAGCAATATATTTGTAAGTTTCTACTATCTGGAATGTATTGTAAGCCTTTGTTTTAAAAATAAGAGCAGGGAGGCTTAAGAGAAAAAGTTTGAATTTGATTTAACCCTCGTTTGTCCAGAAACATAAAATCACATAAAAAGTAAGTTGCATGACTATTAAACATCAGCATCAAAAAAAGGGAGTTAACAGTTAAGGTTAATTGGGGGTCGCCAGTTGGATTAACAATTTTCATACTCAATTTCGGTTTGACTTGTATTTCCAAAACATGTGCTATCTTTTATTTCTAGGTACTTTCTTATAAGCATCTCTGTAGGTTTCACCCATTATTCACATAGATGAAGGTAAGGGGAAAATTAATCAATTATCATCGAAACAAGTTAAAACATTGATTTTTTGTAATTATGTTTATAATTTTGTAAGTTCATCAATTAAATGTATGCCATGAAAACAAATTGTGCGAAAGAAATATTGCGAAATTACAGGAAGATTTATTTCTGTATACGCTTGAAATTAATTTATACGTGAATGTTATTGCTATTGAACTTTATTTTTAATATCCTCCCGTAAGGATAAAGCGTTAGGGTGTTTTTAGTTAGTTAAATTTTATGGACACTATCACATAATAAATTGTTAGTTAAATTTAGTTTTTTTAAATAAAAGTTATTCCGGTGTTTTGATAAATTTTCTGTCAAACCATCATAATTAAATAATTTTTATAAATACTCATCAATTTTTAGTTAGTTGAATTTTATGAGAACTATCACATAATAAATTGTTAGGTAAATATAGTCGTTTCAAATAAATTGTTCCGGTTTTTGATAAATTTTCTGCTAAACCATCATAATAAAATAATTTTTCTAATTACTCATCAATTTTTCGTTAGTTAAACTTTGTGAGCAAAACCAATAAATTATTAATTAGGTTTTATGAGCAAAACCATGTAATTAATAGTCAGTTAAATAAATTGTTTTAAATAAAGTTATTCCGGTGATTTGATAAATTGCCAAACAATCATAATTAAATAATTTTTATAAAAACTCAGAAATTTTTGGTCTCGTTTAATTTGGTTTACATTAAAATAAGAATGTTGTTATTAATATATCGAAGAAATGCATACAGTTCAAAATAAACTACAAAAAGTGTGGGTGTCCAGATCTTTTGTCTTCAGCTGTACTCGAAGAAAATCTTGTGTAATTTTATGAGCAAAACCTTGCAATAAATTGTTTGTCAAATTTTATGAGAAAAACCATGTAATCAATTATTAGTAAAATTGTATGAGTAAAATCGTCTAATAAATTGTTAATTAGGTTTTATGAGCAAAGCCATGTAATAAATTGCTAGTTGAATTCAATCTATCAATACATGGTATTGAGGTGCTTTTGGTACATTTTCTGCCAAACCATTAAAATTACATAATTTTTATAAAAACTCAGGAATTTTTGGTCTCGTTTAATTTGGTTTACATTAAAATAAGGACGTTGTAATTAATATATCGAAAAAAATGCATACAATTTGAAATAAACGTCAAAATGTGCGGGTGTCCGGTGCTTTTGTCTTCAGCCGTACTCTAAGAAAATCTTGTGTAATTTTATGAGCAAAACCATGCAATAAATTGTTTGTCAAATTTTATGAGAAAAACCATGTAATCAATTATTAGTAAAATTTTATGAGTAAAATCGTCTAATAAATTGTTAATTAGGTTTTATGAGCAAAACCATGTAATAAATTGCTAGTTGAATTCAATCTATCAATAAATGGTATTCAGGTGTTTTTGATAAATTTTCTGAAAAACCATTAAAATTACATAAATTCTATAAAAATTCAGGAATTTTTGGTCTCGTTTAATTTGGTTTACATTAAAATAAGAATGTTGTAATTAATATATCGAAAAAATGCATACAGTTCGAAAGAAACTACAAAAAGTGTGGGTGTCCAGATCTTTTGTCTTCAGCTGTACACGAAGAAGATCTTGTGTAATTTTATTAGCAAAACCATGCAATAAATTATTTGTCAAATTTTATGAGAAAAACCATGAAATCAATTGTGATAAAAATTTTATGAGTAAAATCGTCTCATAAATTGTAGTTGAATTCTATCAATAAATGGTTTTCATTTTGATAAATTTTTTGCCAAACCATTAAAATTAAATAATTTTTTATAAAACCCCATAAATTTTTGATCTCGTTTAATTTGGTTTACATTAAAAAAAGCATGTTGTAATTAATATAAGGACAATAATACACGTAGTTTGAAAAAAATATGAGTGTCCGGTTCTTTTCTCTTCGACTGTACTCGACGAAAATCTGGTCGGTTGTAAGGCATGTAATGATGTCAAGACTCATAAGCCTATAAATTTTTTTATGAATCTTGGAGGGTTGATGGCAATTTATTGGACGTCTAGAGAAACCGATGAAACGATTTTGAACATCGTGAAAATTTACTGTTTTAAAAATTATCAGCAATGAATTAACAAATTACAACTATGGACGTTTCTGAGAGTAGTCGATTGGTATTGATGCCCTTCTCATAATCCGATAAACTTCGTATTGAATCTAAATTTGTCGGTTTATGAGGAGTTCTGGCGGTAATTTTCTGGAATTTGTGAGACTGGCAAGAATATAAAAGTTAAAAAAAAAGAAAGATACGAATTATTTTTTTGAATTTTTTTGACAACTAAATTTGTTGGTTTTTGTGCAACATTAGTAGCGATTGTGTGGATGTCTTGTAAAATTTATTAATATTTAAAAAGAAATCAACAACACTTAACAAAAAATAGAATATGACATTTGAATACACAATTTCTGTTTTCAATGAAAATGTATTTGTTGGTTTATTTGAAGTGAAAGTGGAAATTTTGTTGATAAATTATTAAATTCGTGAAACTGGCTAGAATAAAAAAGCATAAACACTTCTCATAAGCAAATATCTATAATGAAAATTATATTGGCTAGTTTATGTGCAGTGTTAGTGGCAATTATGTAGATATATTGAGAAATGGGTTAAACTTACTGATTTAAATATTTGGCGACTACTTCTAATAAACTGATGAATTTGTATTAAAACTAAATTTACTGGTTTATGAAGAGTGCTTGTGGCTTTTTTGTGGCTAACGATGAAATTGGCAGACAGGCTAGACTGAAAAGGAATAACCTTCTTTATAAAGATGGAAGATAAATTTGGTGAAAACACATGTAAACTAAGTAATTTATGTTAAAACTTAATTTGTTGTATTATCTGCAGTTTTAGAGACAATTTTGTTGATACCTTATAAAATAAGTTAAATTTGCTGACCTCAAAAATATTGATCTTTATTTACAAAGAAGAGGGATAACACATTTGACGACACAAATCTCATAAACCGATGCTTTTGTATTGGAACTAAATTTGTTGGTTTATTTGGATGGTTGTGAACATGTTTTTGGACAAGTGAAATTAACAAGGTTGGCTAAAATAAAATGGAACAATCATTTTTTACAAAGAAGAAGTATATTTTTGAGCGACAATACTTCTCATAAACCGATGAATTTGTATTGAAACTAAATTTACTGGCTTATGTGGAGTGCTTGTGGCTACGTTGTGGCTAATGGTGAAATTGGCGAGACAGGCAAGACTAAAAAGGAATAACTTTATTTATAAAGATGGAGGATAAGACGGATGACAACACTTATAAACTACGGAATTTGTATTGAAACTAAATTTGTTGTATTATGTACAGTGCTGGTGACAATTTTATAGATATTTTATGAAATGGATCAAACAGATTGAACATAAAAGAAATAAACGTTCTTTATTTTTTCATGAGGAATTAGCAAGGCTGGCCGGAATAAAAAGGAACGAACGTTCACTACAAAAAAGGAGGATCTTGGGCGCTTCTCATAAATGAAAGAATAAGTATTGAAACGATGTTTTTTTGTTCATCCAGTGTTACTAGAAATTTGCGATATCTTGGGAAAGTGGTTAAATATACTGAATTAAAAAAAGTATAAACTTTTTCTATAGAAAAGAAAAATAACATATTTGCAAACAATACTTTTCTTAAACCGATGTATTTGCATTAAATTTAGCGTTCAGTTTATGTGAAATGTTAGTAAAATGTTGTGAATATCTAGTATCATTAAATCGTTAATTAAAACTATACTAATTTACAGAAACCAACACTAACATTACAACACTTTCACACACAACCAATATGACACCACAAGAATAGCACCACACTTTATGTCCTGAAGATGGCCAGAATAAAGGTCGAAACGCCGGCACAAAAATGAAAAAGGTGTTTCAACTAAACTTCCTAGTTCTTCACCGCTCTTCACGATTTTAACAAATTATTGATTTAAATCTTTGAAAATAGAAAGTACTAAAAGTTATTCAGGTTAATGCTGAAGAATGTAGGCAAATAAAAAATTTCCAGATTAAATGTCTTANTATAATAACCGTAGTGCAATATGCGATGCCATGTAGGCAGTGATAATTTTATTTATGTAAACAATTTATTTGCAGAATTTCCATTGTTATGTTTGCATGAGTTTATTCCCTTAAACTTCTTTGTTTGAGTCAACTTAAAGAAAGTAATATGAGATGTTTTGAATGTGCTGTATTGTCGAAGGATGTAGGATTTGCATTACTATATTAAACAATTTTTATTAGAAAATAAAATAAATATATTTATAAATTATGTATAAAAATCGTAAACGAGAAAAATTAGTTCTTTTCTATATCTTTCGACTCATACCTTTCTTCTTTATCTGAAAATGAGTCATTTTATTAAATTAAAAAAAAAAAAGATTTTATAAATTTTCGAAATTTTAAATTTACCACTGACTTTGTTGAAGTCTTGAATTTCACCTGAGCCGAAGATTATGAAAACCAGGTTGCCGACGAAAAATACACCGGCTGACACATAAAAAACAATCCTCCACAGGTCAGCGTTTGTCTAAAACGCACAACACTCAAATTTAATAACTGTTTTTAAGTTGAAAATTTTATGTTTACTTAGCAATTTACTTACAACATCTGTGACGACGTAGCCGACAAAAAGTGGTCCGAGAATGGCCGAAATATTGGAAATGCCATTAGTGAGGCCCATCAGAAAGCCGGCAAAGTTTGGACAAATGTCCAGATGGTTGATGTTGAATCCCATGAAGGTGAAACCGACCAACGTCACCCCTATAGTGTACATGATTATAGCGACACTACTGCTGTTCGTGTAGCCTAAGGCGAGTAGACATGCAGCGATTCCCCAATGACCTAAAATATCAATTAACAGTAATATTCTATTAAATTCTTATTAGAGTAAAAAAGGCATTGCTTAACGTACCAATAGTGTTACAGAGTTTCCTCGAAAGGCTTATCGAAGTGACGCCTTTTTTGATGAGCATGTCAGCAATGTATGAAATAGGAAAAGACACAACCCACAAACAGGCGAACGGCATCGCTGAAATAAGACCATTCTAGAAAAAGAAAAATAACAATTAACAACATGAACTTGTGTAAGTATTACAATGTTGGGTCAGAATTAAGTCGAATAGTTTGATAAATATTTTTTTTTACAGGTCGCTAAAAGTGTATTTCTTCAAAAAACCCTTCAATTTTAAACAAAACCAACACATGATTTAGTCATTGCCGAAGTGTTTGATGGGATAGAGTGACCAGGATGATTGGTAACGGCTAAATTAGTGTTTCATCACCCGACAGACCTGACAGAAAAATTTCAAAAGGAATATAGCCGATTTATTTTCAGGCTTCCTAATAAAGCAAATGTACGCAAGGATAGACGGAATTTTTTCAAATTATCTATCAAAACGATTTCTTTTAAACGCATGTAATGACGTAATTTTCGTAATAAAACAAAGAATAAGAGAATAATCTAAATAAGTCAAGAAAACCAAATTAAATCTGACAGAACTTTGACAGATAATAAAAATATATTTTTAGACAATTCATACTTTTCAACTTATATTAAACCTTTTTTAACAGTTTCGTATGACGCTGCCAAACCAAAAGTCTACGCAAATTGCGATTAGGAGAGACGAGTGGAAAAAGGATTTAAATTTATACCAGCAAACTTATAAATGAAATGTATTTACCAGATCAATGCTTAAAACCTTATACTCCGTCAATTAATTAATCTTTATGAAAGGTACTGATAAATGGCCTGCCTACTCGCTCCCTGAAAGGGGACATGGCGTGGCATTCCTCATACAAATGTGACACACCGGGCTCTATAAGCGGGACACCTGCGCAGGGTTTGCTCCAAAAGTATGTGTCCTTGTGTCAATCGGATATGGCCTATTCTCAAACGGGTCAGCTGGAATACAAGTTAAAATCAAATTATGGACATTTGGAATTTTCTAGTCACTTAGGTATGTAGAGTAACTTCCCGAAGTATTAACATCTGTTTGTGGAAAAACAGCCTGTTCGTATGTACAGAATAGAAGTGGTCCGATTGACCAAATAACTTCTTTCAATTAATTAAACTTTATGTAAGGTATTGGTTGATATAAAAAAGTCAGAAGCCATTGAAAAATGGCAAAAAGGAGGGAAAATTCGAAAGGTGGGTTGAGGTGGAAAGTTGGTGATTGAGTGGATCAAAGTAACGATAGTTCAAGTGGTAGAGCAGCGGCGTATTTAGCCGAATGTCGTGGGTTCGAATCCCGCTCGTCACACTGACTTTTTTATCTCAACCAATACCTTATATAAAGATTAATTAATGAAAGATGTTATTTGGTCAATCGGACCACGAAATCTAATGAATTAATAGATAATGTTCTAACTGATATTTTAGTTTGTTTCTTAAAAATTACAATAAAAAAATTTATCCTATAGGGCGTTTAATGCACTTTCCATTAATGCATTCAAATTTATTGTAGGATTAATATCGTACGAAATACGGGGGCTTTAAGGGAATAGTTGGGAAAGGATGAATTAACACGAAAAGTGAAATGTCTCAAATATAATTGACAATCAGACTATGTACAAAAGAATCTTTTAGCCCCATTTGAAATGTTGAATAACATCCTAAATTATTCACTTCAGTCTCTGACTGACCAATAAATCTGATTTGAAGCCCAGGAAACTGTGGAATAGTGTTCAATGCGCTATTACTATTTGAGATTTTCATGAGCTAAATGTGGTAACGTCTGCAGAATGCTTATTACTTCAAAAGTGTCTTCATAGAAACCTTTTGATGAAGTTTAACGTCCGTTGACCATATTTTTGATCCGACACCTTTCTTAACTTGTTTCTTCAATAATAACTTTTCTTCCATTATGAACAATAGTACATAGACCAAATCGTATTTTTAAAGAGTGTATAAAATAGAACATTGCTACAAGGTAAAATGACCTCAAATCAAGGTAGTGAGTTCAAAATTATGTCAGAAATGTGTGGTGATTAGTGACCGTTAATCGATATTTATTTAGAAATCGTGAGATGCGGTCTGGTGTGATGTAGGTTTCAGAAAAATATTTTCTTTATCATGCCAACGTTTCGATCTTTATTGAGATCATCTTCAGGGACCAAAGTGGGCACTCTCGACACGACACGCAAGAATGACACAATTACAAAGAAGACAAACACTTTGAGCCCTGAAGATGATCTCAATAAAGATCGAAACGTTGGCATGTTAAAGAAAATGTTTTTCTGAAACCTACATCACACCAGACCGCATCACACGATTTCTAAATAAAAATTATGTCAGAAGATTTCTCAGTTTTAATACGCTTAACACAATTAGCCTAGTTTGTAACATGGCAACTTACACTTATTTTTAACTTTCGGTTAAAAGTTAAAGTTAAGTTTTATCATCACCTTAGGTTGATTTAAAAAAACTTACATTTGAAGAACTGTAATTTAGGACGGAATCGAAGAATGTGGGCATCTGGGTGATCAGAATCCAGTATCCCCAGTTGTGACCTGTGATGGCTATCGTGACAGCATAACAGGCTTTGTTTGTAAAGATTTTCGCCCAAGGTATCGTTCGTTTCTAAAAAATAAAAAAAAACACGTTTATATAAAACTCGAATTCGCACAAATCTCCGCTATGGCACCTTTGCCTTCGACGTGTGAACCAGGGCGCTTTCGATGTAACGTTTCTCCTCTCGTGAAATGTAACTGCAGCTGGACGGACTTTCGGCTCCCCATTCGTACCAGACGACGCACCAGAGGAGCGACATACCTCCTGAAAGGTAAAAAATGCTCGGCCAACCACCCGCGCTAGTTCCGAGCACTCCTGAGCTCACAAATGAGATTATAGTTCCAAAATGCATCCCTGGAAAATCAAATCAAAAATATTGCATAAGAATTTTTCTTGAGGCCTGCACGGAAATGTTAGATAGATTCAGATCATCCTAGTATGTCTATTCTTTCTGGCTTTGTCTATCGGACTCATTTCGATTTTTCGCCTTCTTCAGTGATTTATTAGTTTTTTTCGTCGAAGGGGAAAGGTGTCTTTCGATATTCCAGTTGGTAATGTTACAGTTTGAAAGCTGTATAGATTTATTGGAGGCCTTCATTTGGTGCGACGTTCTTTAGGTTATTTGGAGATCGTGAGACGCGGTCTGGCGTGACGTAGGTTTTTAGAAAGACATTTTCTTTATCGTTTCTTTATTGAGATCATCTTCAGGGCTCTATGTGTTTGTTTTCTGGTAGAATGCCTGAACAATGGGCACTCTTAACACGACACACAAGAATGACACATCTTGCAGAAAACAAACACGTTTAGCATTGAAGATGATCTCAATAAAGATCGAAACGTTGGCACGATAAAAAAAAATGTTTTTCTAAACCTACGTCACACCAGACCGCATCTCACGATCTCCAAATAATCATTGGCTAACGGTCACTAAACACTATACGTTGTTTAGGTTTTTTTAGAAACTTTTGAAGTTTTGCTTGTTGGGAGTCACATGAGCTTAAACATGATCACCTGCACATAACGCTGAGAAATCAAAGGATTGAAGAAACAGGTAATAAGAAATGTAAAGCTAAGCACCTAGCGTAGTCCATTAAGTACCTAAAGTAAAACTCAAGAGTGGATTTTTTGGCCGACGACAAAGAAATGATCGAAGGTCGGCTCGGCGTCAAAAATGTTTCAGTACATTACATTAACGTATAATTTGTTTAAAAAAAGCCACGAAGGATCTCGTGACCACTGATACGTCCCAACTTTAAGATAAATCAAGATCAAAGTGATTTATCACACTCAAGTCTTATTAAGAATTATATTTTGATTATCTCATTTTTGATAATAAAATTTTATTTGATGGCCCAAGGTTCCAGCATTTAATCTAAATGCATTTCTTTCCAGATTCAGAGTCTCACCAGCTTTTTTTTTACCATTCTGTAATATCTTATCTTTCTTGTTCAATCTTACACGGAGATTATTGGATTACTTGATCCGAGTGATAGATTCCTGTTGTTTTCTCTCCCTTAAAAAGGGTTCAGCCATGTTATCATTGCCTTTCAAGGGCATTAGTTTCTTGGTTTCTGTAATCTCCATTTTAATTGTTTATGTTTGTAAATTTTGTCTTGTCATTAAGGACGATTCGGAGCTAATGATGTTTGATTGACGAAGTTCGACAATTGTGCATAGATATCCATCAGACATACATTCATTTCACAACGGTTTCCTCAGAAGTATAAAAAAAATTGTTGGGTATTCAGCGACCTCGTCCGATTGTGGGAGGTAATCCTTTTCCCAAATGTGTTGCCAGATCTATTTTACGACACTTTGCCACTCAAATCACTCACCTGATTAGATGTAGAGCTTCTGTATATTAAAAATCCTTAAAGATAGCGTTAATAGGCAATAGCATGCAAATAAAATGTTATCTAATGGAAATAACAAATATATTATAAGAAAAAGTTACGGCAAAGGTAAACAAAGTTAGTTTCTTATTGTAATAATAATACTATGAAATAAAATTATAGTATTAGTTTTAAATTAAAAATTAATTAAACAGAGAAATAACGGAAGAGCTCTTCAATGAATTTAGAAAAGAAAGAAAAAACTAAGTTAAAATGAAGATACAAAAAAAGTATATATATTTAAATTAAAATAAAAGTTCACTTGTGAGGACTCTTGATGTATAGATGTGACGTGGCGTTGCGGTTGTGCGGGAAAGATTATGAAGTCGGGTCCACTTCTGCTGCGGTGCGGGAAGATGTCAGGCGTGCGGTCGTTGTGAATCAAGACATAGAATACAACTGATTGTAGTGCGGCGGACGAATAATAATAATAACGCCCGTATTGTTGAACAGTACAGAACGTTGAACTATCGATTTACAATACAAAATAACTTATATAAAATTACTGCCTGAAACATCTAAATTTAAGAAACAGAGCGTATGCTGTCTTCTTGGCGGTTGAGACGCAACTCGTCCAGTTGACTGGACTTTACCAAAGAAAAGAAGGGGCGTTTCCATGGTAATGAAAAATACAAAACAATTCACCGTAGCAACGGCGACGTGTAAACACTGGTGCTCATGGCAACCGAAAGCATAACATTTGGTTCCCATAGCAACGGGAGGCGTAAACATTCGTTTCCCGTGGCAACGAGACCAAACAAACTCAACTTAAATTAAAACAAAAAATAAAATTTAAATTCAGGCGTAAACAAAATTGTATAACAAAATATCCATTTTGTATACTATCATAATGTACAACAAAAAAGAACATTTATCAGAAGATAGGTGATCATTGCTAATAATTATAGCCCGCCTGTCCTGTCTTATCTTCATTAATCGTGTTTCGTATTTCGTGGTTATCTTTTATTTGCGTCATTACGTTCTGACGTTTTTGTTTTGTCAAAATGTGTGTTGGCAGGAGGCAGTTCAAGCGTTGTTTTCTCTGTGGTTTTATAGTATTTGATGATGCTTTTATGCATTGTCGATTTTTAATTGACAGATAACAGGATAAGGCGCTGACGCACTTCACTGATTGTTAGTAAATGCCTAAAGACGTTTGACAGACAAAAACAGCGTGATGAAACAAATGGTAATGATGATGAGAATCCTCATAAAACATTCATTCCAGCTATTTATTACAAAGTACAACTGCTTGATCATAAACTTCATGATCATTAACCTAAATGATAATTGTTTTTCTTTGGGCGGCCCTGTAATCAAAACTACTTAATTAAATATGCCATTCGATGAACACCTGCCAATAATAAATTATGCCGATTTTTCTGGTGGTTTGATGTTTTTAAGTTGTACCATTTTTAAGTTTCAAATTTGAGTGGTGGTTTTAAGTGATACAGTTTCGGCTAGAATCATGGCGTTGTTGGAAGGTGGTAGAAGTGAAGCGTATCTGGTCTGGTTGCTTAACATTCCCAGAAGAACTGTCCGAAGGGTCTTACAAATCTACCAAGGAGGTTTATCAAGAAGGCATGGATCAGGTCGCCAACGTGTCACATCTGAGATGCCAATGGAGATCAAGCAACGATTTCAATAAATTAGAAATGTTAATATCAGTTGATGCAATGTAAGGTAACACTTTAACAGGCTGAATTACGTGCAAGAAGGCTGGTCTAGAACTTTTGACGAAGCACAGAACTGCTCGGTTAAGTTTCGCAAGACATCACATCTATTTGTCTGTGGAAGCTTGGACTAAAATATATTATCGGATGAGTGAAGGGTTTGTTTGAAGTCTGAAGGCCGAGAGAGGGTTTGGAGAAGAATATGAGAGCGATATATCCCAGCAACATTTTCACTCCGGAATAGCTATGGAGGTAGTGGTGTTATGGTTTGGACTGGCATTTCTAAAGAAGGTCGCAAACTTGATCTTTCCCTCTAGAGTTCCCTAACATCTGCGAGATACACTGAAGATGTATTATCAGAACAGTTCCTTATATGTCACTAATTTGCGACGGTTATGCAGATGTTTGATGCATAATAATACAAGGCCCCACACAGCTAGTATTTGGTGACTACTTGGAACGGGCTTCAATTCAATGCCTAACAAAACAGTTCCCAACTTAAACCCTATCGAACACCTTAGGGACGAGTAGTCAAAGAGGATAAAAAGTAGCCCAATGATGCTAGCATTTGGAGGAATTAAGAAAGACGCTGTTAGAGGAGTATGAAAATATTCCACAGCACTACAATAAAAGCCTAATAAAATCGATGCCATGTCGAATGAAAACGGTGATCAACGCAAGAGAAGGAAATACTCTGTACTGAATTTAATATGTATTTTTATTTTCCATGGCAACATTTTTAATAAATTCACTAATTTCGTGGTCCGCTTGACCAATTAATATATTACAATTAATTAAGGTTTTTAGTTGAGATAAAAAGTCAATGGCACGAGCAGGATTCGAACCCACGATCTTCGGCTAGATACACCGCTGCTCTACCACTTGAGCTATCGTGACCTCGATCCACTCGGACACCAACTTCCCATCTCAACCCCACCTTTTTGAATTTTCCCTCCTTTTTGCCATTTTTCAAATGTCGTGTAATCGAATTGGATTCTCGACGACAAGTGAAATGGCCACGGAGAGCTGTAGTGAAGTACACTTCATTTTAAATCATTAAATTCACTAATTTCGTGGTTCGCTTGACCAATTAATCAACAATTAATTAAGGTTTGTAGTTGAGATAAAAAAGTCAATGGCACGAGCGGGATTCGAACCCACGATCTTTGGCTAGATAGGCCAAGATTCAAATAGATTACACGACACTTGAAAAATTGCAAAAAGGAGGGAAAATTCAAACGGTGGGGTTGAGATGGGAAGTTAGTGTCCGAGTGGATCAAGGTCACGATAGCTCAAGTAGTAGAGCAGCGGGGTATTTAGCCGAAGAGCGTGGGTTCGAATCCCGCTTGTGCCATTGACTTTTTTATCTCAACTAAAAACCTTAATTAATTGTAATTTTTAGTAAAATAGTTTTACTCAGTTTATTTTTTATTAAATGTTTTAATTTAGCTATATCTTATATTTTTCTTTAAAAATGTCCAGTAACAACAAAAAGCTTTAACGTTTGCAATTATTTACTATAAATAGAGGATGGCCACTGTTTTGCCTCTCCGTATTATATATATATATATATATATATGTAGGATGTTCACCGCCACTACGTCAACGGAGGCCCTACNTTATTAATGAATGATGTGATTAATAATTAATTGTACAAAGATTATTGTATTAACTGTATTGAACGATGAGAATAAAATTAGCAAAAGTATAAGCAAAGGATTTTCTTCTTCTTCTTTTATTCTTGAAAGCTTCTTTGGACGCTCGAGAATCCCCTCAAAGGAAAGCCCAGGAAATGCAAATTGATGAAGCCAGAAGGTGGAAGCTACCATGAGGAAGAAAGCTCCACGTAGAATGAAAGAAAGATAGCGATAGACATATAGATAGATGTAAACTTAGAGAAAGAGTGATTTTAAAATAAAGTGTGTGTGTGTGAAAGAGAGGGAGGAAGAGAACGAGTGAACGAGAGAGATGAAGAAGATAAAAAAGGAGAGAGAGAGAGAGAGAGAGAGAGAGAGAGAGAGAGAGAGAGATAGTGAAAAACCTATGGTAGAACTTCTTAGATGATTTAATGAATATACCGCCCAGGGTTATATATCTGCTATCGCTTGTTCGGTTTAAGATTAGTAATTAACAAAATTATACTTTATTGGAATATTATTTCGCTTGCGGTGAAATCATATTAATTTTTAGCTTTTATTTATCAGTCTGCAGTCCATTGTATTGGATAATAACATCATAATTATCATTTTAATGTTTTTATTGTTATTAATGTAGAAAATAGAGATAATAAATCATAGCTCACCTCCTAAAACAAGCGTGCCGCAGCGAGCTCTTTCGTTGGGCGGGACCCATCTCGAGAGTTGACCCGAGGTCACAGGCATCATGAAACCCTGGACAACATCAAATGCATAATGTTGTCGGTTAAGAACAGTTAAATATAACACTAAGTTACCTGCATGAGTCCTAACGATGCCCTGAGGGCGACGAAAGCCCCGTAACCTCCGATTTTGACGATGAACGGTGTTGCGATCGTCGCGATCGAGCTGTAAGTGGCGCTACAAAGAAGGAGATTCCTGTTGTTAAATTTATTAACCAACACCGCAGCACATAAGTTCATGATGAGGTAGCCCCAGAAGAAAGCGCTGAACAGAATGCCTCGCTGCTCTGAGCTCCAGTCGTATACCTAAAACGAAACCAAATATTTTAAAATTTCCTCTTAGGATCTGCTAGTTGATGAACTAGTGTTGCGTCGTTTTGATCAATTTATTTTACCTACCATTTCTTACTGTGAAATTGTGTCAAAGAGATAAACGCATTTGACAGACCAAAACAATAAAATAAGCAGACCAAAATGATCAGAAACGGCCAAACTACAAAAACATAGGGGTCTTTAAAGATCGTGGGTTTTTAACGGGTCCAGAGATAAAAAAATGCAGAATCGACAACTAACACACATGACACATCACCACAGGACCCATAACAGATGTACGCTGTACAGCTGTACAACTGCGTAGCTAAATATTTGGAAGCTCGGGTGCGTAAAATAGATGAAGGTCTCTTTTATTTGCAAAAACAAACTAAGGTTCGCAGCCTATTGATTCACGATGCCCGGATAGCCACGCCACTGTTGATCTAAGTACGTATAGTGGACTAAACTTTGGATATAAATAATAATTAATAATTGTAATGGACTTTGATACAAAACGGAAGAAAAGTCAAAGAAGACGGAGCTATACACATTTTCAAGTATTGTCCGGATGCTAATCCAGACCTGCCGGGTGGATGCAGTATGCCAATGTGCAAAATGCCTTTGATGTGACAAGCTATAGAACGATGTAGCAGTAATTGCGTCTAAATATAACATGCTGTGGTTTGAAGTTATGCTTCCTCCCTGCATATCTGGATCAAGGCAACGTTTTGTCCAATAATTTTCAATTGTTTACCTCGTAAGTATCGGTACTGTTCTTGTCGGTCATCAGCACCATGGCTATACTCAGGTTCGTCCTCATCAGGTAGTTCGATGCCAAACAGAAAAAAAGGATCAAGGCCTGGACGTGACGCACTCCCAACCATGTTCTGGAAACTATAAATGTAATTAGCACATACTATATTTTAATAATTCACATAAATCAATCTTTTAGCATATATTCTTTCCTAGATGGAAAAATTGGTATAATTAACTATCACCATATCGACATATTTGATTTATTATCAACCCACATATACATTTTCACTTGAGTATATTCAAGATAATTACTGTTTGTATTTCAATTCAACCAAGTGTTGACTTAAGATTAAGATTTATTTATTGTCCATTATTTTTCACTATGTTTTAAATTCTTCAATTTATTGGCGGATTTATATTTTGTTTTAGTTTTTTATTTATTGCATGTTTATTTTCAATTTGGACCATGCAAGATAGCATATGCTAGGCATGAATATATATTTTTATTAAATTTTTTTATAATGCTAACAAAATTTTAATAAAAATTATACTGAATTCTATATATTTAAGTGTTTCGTCTAATACAGGACTTTGAATTTGTTTTTTTGTTGTATACTTTAATTTTACTATTGTAGGTGTGTATATAAGTAGTTAAGAAGTTAAATGAATTAAATCATATTGAAACAGTTTATAATTAATTGCTTTTTTTATCATTTAGTTAATTCTTTTTCTTGTGATATTGAATTTACATTTTGCAGAAGGACTTAGAAGTTGAAGAATAGATTAATTTAACAATATAATTGCTCTGTAATCGGGTCAATTTTGGCTAATTTAAAATGGACTAGAAATAAAAAGCCGAACTAACTAGGACCTGAAGACTTTTCATATAATCGAAATTGAGCCTTGTCAAAGTGGGATTTTATCAATTATTTTTTTTACGAGGGTTCGCAACTGCAGAAGATATATCAACCCTCGGGGTGCAGGTGTTTTTGAAAAAAAAGCCCATTTGTAAGTATGTCGGGTTCGAATGCAGGGCCGCTGGATTCGAACACGGGACCTTTACTTCACAGTGATGAGCGCCGTGTCAACGCCTAAACCGTTGCGGCCACCGACGCCCCAATCAATTTTATTACTATGCAATTTATTCCTATCTCATTTAGCTTGAGCCAAAGTGACCCGTGACAGACCGAGTCAGAAGCTTTTTCAAAATCGAAAAACAAAATTGCAAAATGATATTTTTTTAATCTGGGTATACTTGATCATGAATTTAGTAAAAATAAATATATAGCTTGTACAGCGCTAGAAACCGGCTTGTTTTTATGATAATCCAATATTAAATTTGTTCTCTAAGTATAGAAGTAAACCATTTGCAAAAAACAGTAAACAATGCACAACGGTAATTGTTTGGCTCTCTTCGATCACCTTTTTGAAGCGGTAAAGTGATGATTACTGTATATGAGAGTACCAATGAAAAAAATCTCTAACTAACTAAGTTTCTACAAAACAAAATATTTGGCTTTAGGAAAATAGGTTTAAAACAACATGGACTAAATCTGCAGCTGAAAGGCTTGAATAACCTGATAAGTTCCAAATACATCATTTAAGAAATTTTCTTTTAGCTATGGTTTTGACGTCGTTTCTTGAGTATTTTCACTGTGTTTCGTGTCCCTGCTGCTTCGTTGCTACGCACGGGATTGCTAGACTACATTGCTGAATTACTGGAGATTCTGGATTGCTAGGGTGGGCTGGGTTGCTGGGACGGGTCTGTTCCGGTCTCCATCCTGTTTTTATCCTTGTATTGATATTCTTTGTACTTCTTCCGGTTCTCTCCATTCGTTCATCGTACTATTCAATTGTTTAGATAGACGTTCCACGTTTCTTTTGAGTTATAAGCTTATCGCATTTAATGGAAGCAATTTTCCTATTTTGCCTGGCTTTTTCGCATTAATAACACGGTTTGAGAATTATCTTCAACCATAAAGATGTTTCCATTTGTTAAATTCTTTTTATTTTCTAGAATAATTTTTTTTTCCTAAGTAGTAAGCCCGAAAACGACGGGCCGAATTTTCTGTTGACTTTTTGTCCCATTCTTCTTACAAAATAAATCGCTTCTACGTTATGCTAGTTATATTATAATCAAAACCGTCAATTTTCTAACCAACGCTTGAACTAGCTGAAAGTAATCTAATCTTTATAATTGACTATAAAAGAGAGTTTTTTTCACAAATTTATTTTGTTACAAACGATACATGTGAAGAATGTAATAATAAGAAAGTTGCCTTGACTAACAAAAGTTTAAAACAATCTGACAGGTTATAATTGAGCAGTAGAATTTGTGTAGCTATGTTAATTGAACAAATCAACGATTTATAATTTCTTATCAGCGTAATGATTGATAATATTTGTAAGTAATATTTTTTCTAAGAATCAACTCCTTCTTCCTGTTCGATAACCTAGTTATTAATAAAACAACTGGTAGTCAGTCTGATTAAACTTTTAAGTAATTATGTTTGTTTCGTTGCAACTGGTGCAAATTGTAAATTATTACAATTTCAAGAGCAAACTTATTTTTTGCTGGTTTCAAACGATTTGTTCATTTAACATTAGGCAGAACCTGTTTGTTAACACAATATTTCAACTTTACGTTCGCTGTTTGCCTGGAAAAGAAAGTATTAAATTTTTTAGATAAACAATAACGAGATTTTGAAAAAATTGGCTGTTAATAAAATTCAAATTAGACAAAGAGTTGAAATCAACAATTTGACAAATTCAATCTTATCCGTCAGATTCACAATGATGCACGTACATTGAGATAAATTAAACATAAATTTAAGATAACCTCTCGATAAGGACGTCTTCGGTCAAGTAAAAAATAAATAAATAAATAAAAATAAAAAAATAAAAAAAAATAATGATAAAATAATAGATAATATAACTTGGATTTATATAAATTGGTCGATAAAAGCAATCGTCAATAAAATTATGGTGATTATTGTTTAATATTTACATAGATTTTTCATGTACCAATCTGTTATAAAAACATGCAGCAATACATTAATAATAAGATCAGAATGATTGAAATAGTTAAATATAAAGTTATATTAAATGAACATTGAAATGAAAAAGTCATTGTCACGAGCGGGATTCGAACCCACGACCTTTGGCTGAATACGCCGCTACTCTAACCACTTGGGCTACCCTGACTTCGATCCACTCGGACACCAACTCCCCATCTCAGTGGGTTCGAATCCCGCTCATGACACTAACTTTTCCATTTCAACCAAAAACTTTCATAAAAATATTAATTAATTGGAAGAACTAATATCGTCAATAGACCACTAATTATAATGGTTTTAATAAGAATAATGTGAGAAATGGGAGATGGAACTATAACATCCTAGAAAAAAAAAAAAAAAAAAAAAAAAAAAAACATGGCCAAAAATATACAAAAACGACCTGTTAAAGTTTATAATCTGATATGGATATAACATTAAGTAGATGCAATAAGAGTAGACATTCTCATAATCGCAATAATGAAAAAAAAATGAGCATTATCAAAAGATTATTATAGGCCTAGGCTAGGGTTGAGAGAAAAATTTAGTTTTTAGGTATAATGTGGTTTACACTCTTGTCCTTATAGTAGGCTGATGTTGAATAGGCACCAATGGACTTATGCATAGAGTTTATGTCCCCCATTATCCTAAAAAAAGTTATGGCTTTTCTATGGATTGCCTCTTTAATCCAAACCAAGATCTTTATTCGGCGTGACCCATATGTTACAAGCAATCATTTTAAACAACTATTAACATTAATATTGGACTGGCATGTGTAACTCCGTGAAAGACAGTGATATAGTTACATTGTTGTAACAATGGTCTTGTATAAAAGTAGATTCTTTACAATCTTTTTAGAATTCATCTATGTTTATCTAGTTTCAGCTTTAACTTTGTCAACAAAATTTTTGATGTGTTCACTGAAATTTAATTTAGAATGGAGTGTGTGGTGATTAGTGACCGTTCATCGATATTTATTCAAAAATGTGAGATGCGGTCTGGTGTGATAGGTTTCAGAAAAACCTTTTCTTTATCGTGCCAACGTTTCGATCTTTATTGAGATCATCTTCAGGGCCTGGGATTTACAAACATTGTTTACATTTAACAATACATTTAGGATGTGGAAAAGTGAATTTATACAATGCAAAATATATTTTTTATATTCAATCAAAGTATTTTTCTCACTCAAAGTGTTTATCTTCTGTGTAATTGTGCCATTCTTGCGTGTCGTGTTGAGAGTGCCAGTGAGATTTTGCTGTTTTATGTTCATATACGTTGGATTTTGAAGGGGTGGGAAAGGAAGTCGGTATAGAAAAGACGTTTTTGTATAAGGCGTCGGCTTCTTTGAGGTGAAAAGAGCCGACGAAGGGAAAAAATGTGTTGGTAATGGTTCGGCCAGATTATCCTTTCAGGATTATATAGAAAGGGATAAATAGGAAAAGGAAAGCGAAATTGTTGGACAATAGACTGTGAAAAATATTTGATGTGTGGAATGTAATGTAGTGATATATGTATGTTATCTATATTGAATTTGATTAATGATATTGGCGTAGCTGCGACTGAGTTTATGTATCTGTTCTGTAATTGATGCTGTGTTTATCTCTGTTGATACGAACAATTTCTAAGAAATTCCGTTTATGTTTGTTTTGTTCTGTATGTAATATTTTTGGATCCCAGGCCCTGAAGATGATCTCAATAAAGATCGAAACATTGGCACGATAAAGGAAATGTTTTTCTGAAACCTATCACACCAGACCGCATCTCACGATTTCTGAATAAATATTAGAGTGGAGTGTTACGTCTAAGTTACGATCTTCGGCCAACCATAAATAATTTCCATCGAGTAATATTTTATTGGAGAGGAAGAGTCTACTTTAACTGAAAGGAAAGAGTAGTTTTAGATAAGTTAATGTCTAGTGTAGAGAACGAAGATTATGGCTTGGGTGCTGACCCTGCTATTGGTAGGATTTGTCATTTAGACACCAATAAATTTAAACGTTTTCTACCTACCTTACACTACATTAGGATTATCCTGAATCCTATTGAACTAACCGCTGCTTCAGCCTGAGGTCTGGCAAGAAATAAGATCAACGCAAGCTGACGTCCGGCAAGGGGGCATTCTTAGACCCACCCTCTATACCATTTATACGGACACATCAAAACTGTATCGTTACCTAAGCGGATGACACTGCCTTTAACTCGAATCCTATCTGATCATCCTCTAAAATCCACAGACAGAAAGAAAATGTAACCAGTGTACATTTTCATTGAAAAAACTGCCTTGCGTTTCACTGTACATTAACAAAGAGGAGCCGACGTCAACTTAGCTAAGATACATAGTACTATATGTAGACAGCAGAATGATATGGAATTCCCACACAAAAATTAAGAGAGAAAGACTTGACCGAAGATTTGGACAACTATGAAGACTTTAAGAACCGATGTCGTCAGAACTGTAGAATTCTGAAAAGCCATCCGATATTCACCGCATCCAATCCTTCTAATCAAAATTCCTCAGACAAATTACTGAAGTTTCTAACTACGTCATTAACTTAACTATTCACAACGACCTCAACTTTTCCTTTTGTCAACAAACCGATCCGATACGGCTTCCAAAAGTTCCACGCCGGGCTCTCGATCCGTCCTAGCCCTACGGTCCAAACACTACGTAAACTTTCTCATCTTGAGAAACCGCCTCATCGACTTAAACGACGATGGCCGCGGGACTTCGTCCCTCAATCCATCATTTTGAGTTCCAGTAATTCTCTTAAATTAACTTTGCCCAGCTTGAGCAGTATTGGTCGTAGTAACAGTTTACTTACCAGGAGAACAAGTCTTATAGGTTTAATTTACGCCACAGTTGTAATATGTATGTTGACATATACAGAATATAAATAATTCATTCGGGGGACCGCGGTAGCCGAGTGGTTAGCATGAGAGACTCTCACGCCGCGGTCGTGGGTTCGATTCCCGCCGCGGTCGTGGGTTCGATTCCCACCGTTGCCCCTGGCCCTTTTTTCCCAATAACCCCCCAAATTTGAACACACATATACGAATTTGTCACATNAAAAAAAAAAAAAAAAAAAAAAAATTCATTAAAAAATACATTTTATTTTTTAACGTCCGTCTGGTGAAGAGAGGCTTAATTCATTCAAAACACATATTTCATTTTCGGAAATCACATTACCTCTCTAGGAAGAACAGTGCAAATATTAGAACAAACTCAACTTTTAGACCACGAAAACTAGTGAATTTAATAAGTTAAAATAAAGTTATCGAAATTGAATAGAATCAAATAGATTAAACAACATTTGAAAAAAAGACAAAAAGGAGGGAAAATTCAAAAAATGGAGTTGAGATGGGATGTTAGTGTCCGAGTGGATCAAAGTCACTATAGCTGAAGTGTTAAAGTAGCGGCGTATCTAGCCGAAGGTCGTGGGTTCGAATCCCGCTCGTGACACTGACTTTTTTATCTCAACTAAAAACCTTAATTAATTGAAAGATTAGAACAAACATTATATAAAATTCAAACCCCCTCCTGACTTTAAAAACATTAACTATTTTACCTCTAGTAAATTCTAAGAATTTACGATTTTCTTTTTAATTAAGCATGACAATGAGTCAGTATTTAATTTTTTAAGATTGATTAGTAAACAAGACAATTTTGCTTTGACGAACATAAAAAATGTATCCAGACAATCTAGTTTAAATTGAAATCCAGATTGGGTTGACAGATATTTAATCAGACCTAAAAACATAAAATCTTTTCTGATCTCAGTAAAGGTTAAAAAAGACATTAATAAGAAAATCAGTGTTTAACGAATATAAACAGAAACATACTGACAATCTTTGGATCCGAAATTTCTTGCAAAATATTTAAACTGGCCTTTCTCTCGGCGGAAAACGGAAATCTTTTGAAATTGGGTGAGTTAAGTAAACAAATTAATAAAAAATTTACTAACAAGAAAAAACCATCCCATTTGCTATAAAGTTACGTTTCTGTCGCTAAAAACAGTAAAAGAACGATATAAAAGTAAAATTAATGAAATAAGACCCATCTAATAAAAATTAGGGCTAGTAAAAATTAATTAAATAATTAAATTCCCTAATTTTTTTATGTATATCATTAAATTTTTTTACATATTTGTTTTGTACATGATTTCATTTACAGTTGTCATTTTTAGTTGTTAGTCATTGATTAATCATTTTATGTTTTCATTACTAACACATTTAAAAAATTATGTTTCTGAAAAAATAATCTAGTATGAAATATGTGCAACAGAAAATTAAAAACGTATTATTTGGAAAAGAAGAAATATCAAAAATAAACCAGTATCTTTTTATCTATTAAAAGTAAAACTGTTTTAAAATTATTATATTTGTTATTGCTTTTACGAAATTTAAAGAAATGCTAATAAATCGTGTGGGGTAAGCGAGAAAAGTTGGAGTTAGGAAGTGTCCAAAATTGTTTTACAGGTCAAACAATATTGCTGAATGTAGTAATCAAATATTTATAACGCGATCTCTATGGATTCAACTGTGAATATTTTCTGACAATTCGGATTTTTTGATGATATAATACTGAATCTCTCTTTACCTTGTTTTTTGGCGTGTACTGGCTCTGGTTCGTTTGCGCGTTCTCCTATTTTTCCCATTTTGATATCGCTCATTTTAGTTGCAGGGGGAGTGAGTAACATCCATTTGAGGTGCGGAATACTTGTAATTATTGCCTTTTATAGATTCACCGATAGCTCCCCCCTTCAAAAGAAAAAAAAACAACGCCCGTTGGGTGAAATCCGCCACACTTGTCGATATGAAAACGGCATTGATTTAAAAAGTTCGCAGATTATCTCCAATTTGAACCACAAAATATCTACTGTACTTAACACCAAACGGAGAGGGCCATGATGAACAAAGTTATATTTACAATATAAACCAAAATACAACAGAGAGAAAAAACAAAAAAGTAAATAGACAATGGAATGAAAAATCCGTCTTCCGAAGGTCGCCGTGTTAAAATAAATAACGAAAATTCTGTAGGCATTAAAAAAAGAAAAGCAAAAAAATATTATTGTATATATATATACATATATAAAAATATTATGTGTGTAAATATATATATATATATTTATATATACGCACATAATATTTTTTCGCTTCTCTACAGTAATAAAATCAAAAATTAAATTCTTCTGTAGTATTAGGGCATAACTCAGAAAAGGTAGACTCTATCAAAATTTTCCTTTCAATAAAAGTGGCATCAAATAAGCTCTAGAATCGAATTGTACAATAAAAGTAGAAGATTCTTATTTAAAATTACAAATTTAGTTTCATATCACCAGCTAGAAGAGATAGTTACGTTAAATCTGTAACCACCACGCGATTCCCTGCCAAAATTGAGTTGGGATTTGTATAAGACAATTTTTGGTTAAGATTAATCGTTTCCGAATTAAATGGGTGGACTATAGAAGTTGATACACCCTGTATATATTTTTTAAAATTAGGAAATCTGTCAAACTGCAATTTAAAATATATTATGAGTCAATCCGTTCGTTTTTTAATTTAGAAATACGAGCTTCCAGGAGAAAGAAACATGACGTTATTTTTTTTTAATAGAAATTATTACAGAATTTAATAGATTGTTCAGAATTACTTTAGAAAATTAATATCTACGTTCCCTACAGGTATAACTTTAAAATTACTTAACTCATTCTTTTTTCATTCATTATCATAGAACTAATTACACTTTTCTTAATCCAATGTACAAAATTCAAATAATATGAACTGCCTGGTGACATCGATATTTTCTCTACTTCTTTAAGTATTTTAAAACGTGTTGTTTTATCATAGTTTAATTTTTTTAATATTCTTGTTTAAAATGACATTATTCTCATTTATCGTTTTGTTTACACTTTTGGTCATTATACTATTGATCAATAATTATTTGTATTTAACTTATTTTTATTGGTTTTAGCTATGAGTTTTTATTAGAAACCGTTCTTTTTCATTATGCCGTTCATCAAGCCGTTCATTATTGTAAATAAGCAATTAAATGTAGGTGTCACAGTAGACGAAATAAGGAAAGTGGGAGGAGAGAGAGAGAGACAGAGAGAGAGACAGAGACAGAGAGAGAGAGAGAGAAAAAAAAAGAGAGAGAGAGAGATTTGTAGTTCGAATAAAAAATTAATGAGCGTGTGTGGTTTTTATCTGAACGTGTTTAACTGACTTCCCGACATCATCATTGAAATATGTAACTTTCAAATGTAATGTCTAGTTGTTTGAACGCCTTTTATAAGTTTCTCATTAAAACCATAATGCCGAAACGCGTTTGAGAAGTTCAAGAAATACGCAAATTTAGACGGACCCAATTAATGACCCGTGGCCGGTTAGGCATAAAATTTTATGTTAAAATATACGTGAAAATTGCCTAAATAAAGCACTTCGTATTTAAAATGGAAGTTTGAGTTATTATGAAATTATGAACCAAGATTACAAATGTTTGCGAAAATGTATTCAAACACTTCAGTAATTATAACTTCAGTGTAAGTTCAAAGTTTGAAGAGGTTGTTACCCCCGTGTGAGTGTTTTGTTTACCAAATATCTTCAACCAACGCTGAAGAAACATTTTTGCACTTTGGTAAATATTGCTTAGCAAACGTTCCATCATTTCCAATGAACGGAAGGTACAGCTGTGTTTACGGAGGATAATGTGATTGGCATTATCTGCGAAAGGGGAAATTCTAACCTTGAAAAATTTTAACTAATCAGACTCGATAAATCTTATACTCAATCTCGTAAGATTCATTATCTTTTGAAGGTTCTAAAACCGAGAATGAATGAGTTCCTTCCATTGTCGAGAATAATTATCCAAAAAGCTCAAATAATTTATTAATTTGTTTAGCGTTTGTTATGAAATTGATTGACTGTTGGTAAAATAAGACATTAATTGCTTTCAATTTCTTATATTGCAATAACGAATATAAGGGAAAAGTAAATTAATTAAAATACAAGAAGAGAAGATAACAGTGGACAGTTATTTCATTTGTATCTGTTGTACTTTGTACGTGTTTGAAATGTTTATACTGCCTCATAGAAAAGTGGGTCACAAAAAATTATTAAGACAGGTTTTTCCAGGGTGGTTTCTGAACTGATATGGCGGAATTGATAAGGTTTAATTAGTATTTTTCTGATTAATTTGTGATGGCCTGTTCTGATGTATTTACTTAAACAAAATCATCTAGAAAATTGTATGGCTAACAAGTCAAACAGTTTAAAGATTGAACAAAATATTCGTCATTAATGTACAAAACCGAATCCAACTGTCAGGTAGATGATCCATTGATGTGACTAAGAAACTAGTCATCTGTGCATGGTGTATAATTCGTGAGTTGGTCAAGCTGCTGCTAAATCTTTTGTTATCTTTTATCCACATTTCCAATTCATTCAAAGAGTTATTTGAACTATTTTAATTTCAACTTCTATTCAATACTGTTCATCTAGCACAGCTAAAATTATTTAAAAATAATATATAGTGAAATAATAACATTGGGGCATTAGTTGAAACTTTTGAAAGGTAGAATTATTGTCAATATTACTCAAATGTCTCTTAAATAGAGGGGCTTATACGAAACGACCCCGAAGATAACGAGAACTCTGGTATTGTGAACAAAATCTTGTGTGTGGATGTAATTTATTAGCGCGAATGGAACGTCTTATATCCAGTCTCGGGGGCAGTGTGAAAATAGTCGGATGTATGAATGTTATTTATTGCCGAGAATGGAAGAGCTTTTCCCCATTTATCTCAAGGAATATCAAGTGCTGCGGAGTAGTGTGAATGAAGTATGGTGTGTTTGAATGTATTTATTAGCACGAACGGAGTGGCTTATCTCCAATAACCTCGAGGTATATCGGTTTTATCTTGTTTCAGTTTTTAATGTATTTGTGTTATTTTATCAACAATTGCCGAAGCCTTGAGGTACCAGAATATAAGTTTTATTTCGATCACACCCGAGTAATTCTTCCGTAAGTTGGTCTCTAAACTTCTCTTCGCGTTTCTCATTCCCACTGGGATCACAATGCCATATAACATTGAGGTTCTTTAACGTGAGCACCTGGCACCTTATCACACGTTTAGATTCTTAAGTTAGGTGCAACTCACCTCCGAGCACGGAAAATCTTATTCCGTGAGGTTCGGTGTAGAAGCCCGCAAATCCACAATCTAATCGACTGACAAGCTGACTTCTCCCGCTTGCCTCTTCCCAGGGAGTGGGTTAACATCATGCACTTAACCGTGTGCCGCGCGAGAAGGGATACTCAAAAATTGGTCGAAATACATCGACCAAGTTTCCCACGCACTCCTAGATAGAGACGTCAACTCCCTCTGGGTGTAGTGGCTCCGCCAGCGTCAAAACCCCGGATGCTCTCCGGCCGCTGTTTCGATTTAAGTGGAACCTCTAACCGCCCATGCCTTCGGTTAAGCCAGCGCAGAGGGCCACCACCGAAAAACATCCGCCCCATCAACCATTCCTCACGCATTGGAGGGACGCCGTCAGGGTAGTCTTAGCTCCTGTACGCTTCGGCAGTCCGATCCTTCCGATTCCCGCGAAGTCGGGAGGTAATTCGAAGGCCATACGCAAGTACTACGGTCTACGGCCACGAATGAAATACAGCTTCCTCTCTAGATGCCCGCTAGGGCTCTCACCACTAGGTCCTTACCGATGAAGCCGGCTTGAACTTGGAACGAAAATACGCTGCCCCGCATCATTCCTGAGATGTTGATCTAAGAAAATATAAACTGTACGGTTTATGAGCAAGGAGTCAGTTGTCCACATAGGATCTGTGTTGAGATAAATCTAGTCGTTTCCGATCAGTGTGTTCCTTCCTATCCTGGTTTTTGGGACTGCCAGATGGGTTTCAACTTTTTTAGTAGGTTAATCCATAATGTCATAAATATTATGTTAATCCATTATTACAACTAATTTTTTTAATCTATGGTTTTTGGTTGAGATGAAAAATTAGCGTCATGAGCGGGATTCGAACCCACAACCTTCGGCTCAATACACCGCTGCTCTAACACACTTTCATCTCAACCAAAAACCATAGAAAAAAGAATAATTTTTTATTATGTTGAGATGTAAATCAGGGATGGCACGGTGATGTATGGACAATGAATTGCTTTATGTTATATGTCTTGGGCGTGTGAATTATTGCTAAATAGTGTTTAAGGTTTAAGGTATATAGGGCACATATGAAACAACGATAGATTTTCAAAAAACGTGACAACATTCCAAAAGCGCTAAGAGAGTAGAGGGTACAGAACAGTAACAAATATTGGGCAAATACCAAATAATATGGTAGTTTTAGGTTGTTGCAATGTTTTATCGGCTCCTCGTTCATAAACTGTGGGGAAAGTGTAAAAGAAGAAAGAAGAAAACGGGCTTTTCTGTCTGGAAAGCGGGTCACAGCCGTGGCACAAGCTTGTGCTTATAAATGTGGAATTAAACGACGGGTAAAAAGATGATGAGGGACGTGACGGCTTCTCCGAAGTACAATTTCCGACCGTTCCACGCGAATACACGCCGTCAAATATTTTCCCTCGAGATGAAAATCAGGAACGGAGCCGAGCGTCTGCCCCTCGTGCCAAAAAACGGCGTCAGGGCCAGGCGACTAAATTTTATGTAAAACGACTGGAAACCGTTTCAACGGCGACTAAAAACGCGG